GGATATAGATGGCTGTGTTGACAGAACTAGTAATACTGAAGTGATTGGGATTTTTAAATAAACCCAATGGTGAATAAAAAATTTTGAATGCGAAACATTTTAAAAATCGCAGAAAATCCTCCATCAAAATATTAATTTTAAAGAAACCGAAGGTCACGGCTGCATGATTTCTGCAAAACAAATGATAAAATCTCTGCAAATTGACTTCCAAAAATACGCTTGTGCCAAGAGCCAGAGCATTCACTCTGAAAATGGGTAGACGAGATGACTATCCGAGAAATCGTTTCAAAGAATAAACCTCTCCTGGTGAACGCCGTATCTTCTTCTGACTCACCATCTGGAAATCGAATTCCCGCTTCTATTACGGTCAACCGCAGGATGTTATCTTAAAAGCTATCATTTTACCGTGTATTTGGTGATCTTAGATGGAGATTTACGTTGCTATAATATGGTTAGTTCGGAGTATTTTATGTGGTTAATTGGCTGTACCAAGTCAACGCACTGGCGATTATCTGGTGCATATTCTAACTTCCGCCAGTACCAGCACACCGTTCTTTTTGTGAATCATCCAGACATACCCAACAACAAGTTATGCACCATCCGAGGCTTGCACTCACAAACTTTCCTATCAGAGTCTAATGCTCTAACCATTGAGCCGCCAGCTCCTTATCTTGCTGGTTTAGGTCGAAAAATATTGGCACTCTTTGGTGGATATTCATGGACTGCTGATGAAAGTCACTTGTCCCAATATGCCTTAGGTCTCATTTCTATGACTGTGACAGCAGCCGTAGGGGCTAGTAGTCTAGGCCCATACTGTTGCCGTCAAAGACAAGAAAGACGCTGAAAACGCGCCAGTCGTATTTGCAAGCAAGAAAGCTCCCATTTTCCTCACCGACAAAGGGTATGACTGGCTGATGATGGCTAAGGATCCAGAAATTACCATTATAGGCTTGCTTGTCTTTGCCTGCAATGCTGTCTGCCTAGGCTGCCAGCCACTATGTGGCTGCTGGGTGCCTGAGCAATAAGGTCTAAGGCAGAGCCGGACAAGTGAGTTCTGTTACCTGCCAGTGAAGTGACTAGCGCCATACGAAGGCACTAGTGAATGCTTGTCGTGACTAGTTCAAGTCGTCGTGTACTGGTGAGCGCTTACTGCTTCCGGCCTCTGGAGTAGCCAATCACAGGCCGACTCACAGAGAACTCCGTATGACGACTGTCGAGCAGACATCATTTCAGACGCCGTCCGCTGGCTTACGGTTATGTGGAGGTCTGACAGTAAATTTCCTACTGTCCATTCATTTTCTACCGAATATACTTCTCCTTCTACTCTGGCCTACCATCACTGCTCTTTTCTTAAGGGAGCGGGCCTGAAGATCGCAGTTGCCAGTGCTTAACTCAATTCATCCCCTGCGGTTAGTGCACGCGAAGTACCGACGAAGACTACGGAGACGGGAATGAACACTTTTGTCTCATAAGGCAAAATCAGCAAGTCGCTGCCACTGGCAATTTTGCAGCAGCTAGGACGACTACGTGCTATACCCTGATCGGTGATCGTCCGCCTACGATATTTAATAATTTTGGCATAAATCTTATGTAAGTGGGCACGTTGCTCATGAGTTGAGCGTTCGTGGTTATGGCCAAATACCCCGTTTTTCAACTCTTGATTTTCCGTACACTGGATTGGATATAACTGGCTGATAATAGTTACTTAGTATTCTTGGCGGACGTGCTGTAAATTGTGCGAAAAATATAGTGTTTATAGGAAATCCATGATAATAAGTGTAGTACCCTTTAAAATATACCTAATGCTCAAATTTATTTAATCAAAGCTCAAAAAGATCATCATGTATCATGTGAAGTAACGTGCTTGATTTACACTGACAGAATCCACTATAATTTTCAAAACTCTATGAAATAAAACAACATTTTTCTCTGGGATGAAAAGGATACCATTTAGGGCGCCCAACAAATTGCAACTCGTAATTTACAGAACCTTCTTCTTAAACTGTTTGATAAGGACAACGTACGTTAACCTATAAAAGCTTAATTGCCTTATATGACAAGCTTTAAGCTACTACGCAGGTCAACATCCAAACTATTCTCCTAAATGAATAGCTTAAATTATAAGTTACTAAAATAAATGGGTATGGCGAAAAATGGCACAACATTTTTTAATGTCTGTCGATCCTGCAGGCTCGTATCTTCGAGCTTTGATCATTATTATTTCATTGTAAACTGTATTTTCTGGTGATTTTAAAGAATATCGAGGATAAATAACTCGTTTTCAAGACAACCAGGTCCCTCGTGGATATTTTCGACGAAGCTTTCATATGAAAAGATTGTTTATGCTGTTTTAAAAAGGATTTAAGGATTATATCCTGTGCACACAGCCATCGTTTACCTATTCGCAAATCTTATCATCTATTCTTCTTTTAGGGTACCAATCCGATATCCAAAAAGAAGGTAATTGACTATGTCTGAACCATCTAATGTAATATTTAGGTGATATTGAAAGGGTGAAATTATCTGCTGGAAAACGTAATTTCAAAATGAACCCTAGCTCGCGTACCCTTGACCAATTTAATCCTATGGTCAAGATGAAATACTTATTCCGCACCTTGTAAGAAAGCACTTGGATTTCAAATATAACCAAGTGGATTTTCCTGACGAGCTCTCTTTCCCTGGGAAATACAGCGTTCAGCGTTGGCCACATGTTTGAGAAAGCGCATGTGAATGTCTGCACCTCGAACGTCCGCTATATTCTAAAAATACAATTTTGTTGAGAAGGTTGCTTTTTATCGTTGGTTTTCATCAAGAGGGACAGAAGACTGTTACATTTCTCACATGATCCTTTGCAGTTTCATAAAAGTGAAAAAGCCTGAAAAGCACAGTCACTGGTCAAATTTCATACACTATTCCACAGATAATTAACTAGTTACTCTAAATCAATATTCATATTTATTGCGCAGTATCTGCGTCGGTGATTTGATCACTCTTTTTGACAAAACAAGCACTGGTCTTCCATATCCTAGTACTATTCTGACGTCAATGGTTCCTCAAAT